TTGGTTTCTGACACAGAGAGAACATCAGTGAAAGATGTTGTAAAGTAATGAACAAATGGTATGGTCATTTTTTTGAATTCAGGTGCATCAAGTAAGTGGCCTTGTTGAAGTGCAATCTGCCCATTTGATCAGAATCTGCAGCCCCCATGGTCATGGGGTCAACATTCAGATGCTCGGCAACTGACTCATATTTATGACAGTTGCAGTGTCTTGGGATCATGTGATCACCCTTTGTAACCTTCTGAGACGCAAAGTCAATGGGGAAATCAGATTTACTTAACAACCACGTGACTAACTTTAACAACTGCAGTGATTCGCTTAACAACTGTGGCAAGAAAGGTCATAAAATCGGGGCCAAGCTCACTTAACAACTGCTTTGCTTAGCAACAGAAATTTGGGGCTCAGTTGTGGTCGTAAGATGAGGACTACCTGCATGTCAAATGGCTGTGGGGAAAGGCGAGGAACATGTGTTTAGTTTTGGCTTAGCAGGTGGTCACTAATAATTACCAATTTACCAATTATCAAATGATAGCTTAGTATGAGTCGCCCATCTAATTACAGAATGTGTTTGCATGCCAAGCCATATAGCTTCACTTTTCTATTTTTTTGCTGAGTGGTTCAGCATTACCTGTTTTGTTTTTGTTTTTTCTCATCACAGGTCAGTGGAGATAAGAGAGATGCAACTATAGGAACGAATGCTTTGCAATCTCATTTTTGTTTCCCCTCTTTCTCTGTGTGCATTAGAGCCATTAGTACAGATTCAGATAGCCTGTTGGATAATAGTTAACTTAAAAACAAATCATGCGTACAAAGTTGAATAACTTAACCTATGTTCTATTGCACTCTATTCCAGTCATCATGACATAATACATTATGTGAACAGGTCTCTGCTTGTAAAAGGAAGAAAACTGTTCTCAACTAAAAACTTATACAGTCCTGTTTAGAAATGTCAGGGAGCAAACCTTGTGCCTTCTGATGGAAGTCATAAACTTCAATTAGTAATCGGTAGTCTTTATACCAGTGGTTCTCAACCTTTTTAATGCCGCGACTCCCAACCGGTTGTAAGTCGAGGACTACTCAACCAGTCGTAAGTCGAGGACTACTCAACTGGTGCAGCACCGTTTGCAGAATGGGACTTTTGGCGGGCTCAGCAGGGCAGAGACAGCCTGGACAATTCCTATTGGCTTTTGAAAGCCAATAGAATTAGACTCTATTCAAGAGAGTCTATTCTATTGGCTTTCAAAAGCCAATAGAATAAAAGGGAGTAGCACAGCTAAGGAAAAGGGGGAAAAAAATGGCGGACTGCGTTGTTTGGCGACCCCCGTGAAATGGTCGTTTGACCCCAAATGGGGTCCCGACCCACAGGTTGAGAACCACTGCTTTATACCAAGATTACCATGGCAGACTGTTAATTTCTGAATTAGTTTTATAATATTCTATGTCCTTTATAAAGCTAGACAACCACAACTGAGCCCCAAATTTCTGTTGCTTATCTAGACAGTTGTTAAGGAATTTGGACTCATTTTACAACTTTACTTGCCACAGTTGTTAAGTGAAACACTATAGCTAAGTTAGCAACACGGTTGTTAAATCCATTGACTTGGCTTATCGTGACCTGGGACACTGCAACCATCATAAATACATGCCAGTTGCCAAGCCTCTGAATTTTGATCACGTGACCAGGGGGGATGTGGTAACGGTCGCACATGTGAAGAATGGTCCTAAGTAACTTTTTCCAGTGCCGTTCTAACTTTGAATAGTCATGAAACAAATGGTTGTAAGTCGAGGACTACCTGTATATGGTTGAAAATTTCATTTGCACTGTGAAGGAGCTAGAAACATAATTAATTAATAACCCCATACAGCTATCTAGTAAAAATAGCCCTCCCCTCTTTTTCAGCTTTGAACACCATTATCTGCTTAACTAATTAAAAGGAGTGACATTGTTTCCTACAATAACAAACTTTTAATCAGTTCATTCTAGCAATATAGTTTTTTTTTTTTTTTTTTTAGCATCTCAGGTCTTGTGATTCAAATGTCACAAACAAGTAGAGGTAATGGCCATTGCAAAGAAAGAACTAAATATGCTTTGTGACTCTGAACAAAGCAAACGTGTAGGATAGTGGAGTGGGTGGCAAAAAAAAAAAACCTTTTCTCTGCCAGATGACCTAATTATCATCTCCTACCTCAAGTAGTTACTTATAAGAGACTGTAATGAGTACAGGCCTTTGAAACTATGGTAAACAGGATGTTGCTAAGTGTAAATAAGGATTTCTGAAGTTAGATGGAGAAGCAGATCAGCTCCATTAGACTCACAGATATGAGAGAGAGCGAGAGAGAGCAGATGATATAAACAATTATTCACAGCACAGCACAATAGCAGCATTAAGAATAACTAATCTTTGGACTTCTGGGAAAATAATGGCAGAATGAAGAGAGCTTTATGGCAATAGCCCCAGTAAAAAGAGGAACTGGTGAAGGGGACATCAGTTCATCAGACACCTGCTCTAGATCAAGGAGAAGGCTAGGCTGATTCATAAGTTTGCTCCATATAGAGCAGTGTTTCTCAACCTTGACAATTTTAAGGCATGTGGACTTCAACTCCCAGAATTCTACAGCTGTGGAATTCTGGGAGTTGAAGTCCACATGCCATAAAATTGTCAAGGTTGAGAAACACTGATATAGAGCCACCCCAAAAGAGGCTGTAAAATAGCAATATCCAGTGAGTTTTAGAACTTTGGAAACCATTGAGATAAGATAAACCCAGTTGCCTACCTCCTCTCTTAACCACCTCAGGAAATTGCTTGTTAATTGATTTTTTGGGATGTTAATAACCTTCTGAAGGGCAAGGTTTACTGTGCCGGGAGAGTTTTCTTCTACCCTTGATGAAAGAAGTTCCGTATAAATTTAAGGATTATAAAGGGTAAAAAAAAAATACTTTTGGAAATTAGCAAAAGGGGGACTAGAATGTTGACTCTGGAAAGATAAGGGGCCAGATGGACTTGAAATACATCTTGTGGATTGTTTAGAATTTTATTATATGTAATAATGGTAATAAAGGTCACTTTTACTTGATTTATAATCTTTAATTGAATTATAATCTTTGTGCTCCCTGATTTTCCCCTAATCAATCTTCAGAATCCTCCCTTATATTTATTTTCAATCAATAACATTTTCTGATGGGATGATTTTTTTACAGTGATATTTCAATATATAGATATAGATATATAGATAAAGATAGATAGATAGATAGATAGATAGATAGATAGATAGATAGATAGATATAGATGTATAGATATGGATAGAGATATATATAGATATATACAGATATAGATATAGATATACATAGATATACATATACATATAGAGATAGATAGATAGACAGATAGATAGATAGATAGATATAGAAATTGATGAGAAACTTTTATTGATTAAAAATAAATAAAAGGGAGGATTCTGAAGATTGACTAGGGGGAAATCAGAGCATAAAGATTATAATTCAAATAAAAGTGACCATTAATGGAGCACTATTATTTGACTATATAAGAAATCAAGGATATTTAGGAACAATGTATTCAGAAATTACTTCTACAATTGATTGTCATTATAGGTAGATCTCACCTAATGACCATTCATTCAGTGATCATTTGAAATTACACAGGAGCTAAACAAAGGGAATTAAGACCTTGCAGACTTTGAACTTGTCCAGGGTCATGATTGCAATCTGGGTCCTTGGCAACCCATTCCCATGACAGCTTCCCAAGCGCCCATGCAATTATGTGATGGCCATTTAGGTTGCAACCATCCCAGAGTTACCTTGTGATGAGATGGGCAGCAAATGAATTTAACCAACAAGCAAACAAAGAAAGAAAAGCCACCTGAATATAAACGGAGCTCAAACCCCACTCCTTACTAGCCTTGAGGATGTTACCTAGTTTGGGTAACAAAATGTCTGCAAGAGAACAGCCAAATTCAGAGAGCACCAAAGGACCCCTCGCTGCTCCATACGAGGAGCAACTTAGGGCTGCATTCAAACTCCTTATCCCAATGGTGCTTTTTCAGGAGGCAACTGGACTTTTTTTCCTCTTTGAAGATATTTTGCTTCTCATCCAAGAAGGTTCTTCAGCTCTGACTGGATGGTGGGGAATGGAAGGATTTACATTCCTTGCAGACAGCTGGTCATTTGCCTTCTTTTAGAGTCGCTGAGGCCATAAAAGAATGCAAATGGCCAGCTGTCTGCAAGGAATATTCCCCACCATTCCTCCCCTCAGTCAGAACTGAAGAAGCTTCTTGGATAAGAAGTGAAACATCTTCAGAGAAAAAAAAAGTCCAGTTGCTTCCTGAAAAAGCACCTTTGGGACAACCATGACCTGGATGGCTAAGAATCTTTCTAGCCTAGACATTTACATTTTAATCTTTTGAATAATGGAAGGGATGGCATTTTTTTCTGTTCAATCACAGAATAAAAGGGATGTACACATGTGTTTACTGCTTAAGATGCAGTAAACACATGTGGACAGATAGAATTGCTGCCTGGGTGAATTTGAGCCGGTCACTCTCAGCCCCATACACCTCACAGGGTTGTGGTTGTGGGGAAAATAGGAAGAAAGAGGGTTGGTTATGTTTACCACCTAGAGTTATTTGTAAACTGAACAAGCTTCTTGGTGGAGAAGCGAAACGTCTTCAAGGGAAAAAAACAAAGAAAAGGCCAGTTGCCCCCTGAAAAAGGGAGGAAGGGGGGACTATCATGACGGAGAATCTCCACAGACATTCAGATCCTTTCCCCCATTCCAGAGTCTGCAGTGGGGTCGACCTGCACTTCCTCTTCTCCGGGATTGCCCAGGAGAAAGAGTCGTGTGGACGCGGCCAGGGCTGTGAAGGAAGAGGAGGCGAATGAAAAGGCCGCCTCCCTTTCCTTCCATTCACGCCTCAACCCCTCTGAGCTCTCAGGACGCCTCTTCGCCTCCCAGGCGCGCCCAGCCCGCCTCATTCGCTGCCTGCTCCTCCTCCTCCTCCTCCTGAGGCGGCCAGACGGGGAAGCGAGCGCCCAGGTTCCCCCGAGAAGAAGGCGGTGGCGCAGCCGTCAGGGGAGGAGCCAGCCGCACCGCCGGAGCCAGGCAGCCGGAGAAAGACGGGGCCGGGAGGAGCGAAGCAGGCCCGGAGCTGAAGGAGGAGGCGAGCGCTGAGGCGGCCAGGTCTGACGCGCCCCCTCCCCCCCCCGCTGCCGGCATGGAAGAGCAGCAGCAGCAGCCCGTCAGTCGGTACCAAGTGGTGAGCGACGCCCTCCGGGGTGGACGGTGGCTGGGCCGGGGCTCAGGCCTTGTGCGCGGCCGAGGCCTGCTGGACACGGGGAGGGGAAAGGAGCCGCGAGGAGCGCTTCTTCTCCTTTCATTTCCTTTCCCCCCCTCTCCTTCCTTCCCTTCTTCCCTCTGTCCCCTCCCTCCCTCCCTTCACTCCTTTCCTTTCCTTCCTCTCTCCCTTCACTCCCCTTCCTTCCTCTCTTCCTTCCTCCTTTTCTTTCCTTTCTCCCTCCCTCCCTTCACTCCTTTTCTTTCTTTCCCCCTTCACTCTCCTTCCTTCCTTCCTTCCTTCCTTCCTTCCTTCCTTCCTTCCTTCCTTCCTTCCTTTTCTTCCTTCCTCCTTTTCTTTCCTTTCTCCCTCCCTCCCTTCACTCTTTTCCTTTCTCCCTCCCTTCACTCTCCTTCCTTCCTTCCTTCCTCCTTTTCTTTCCTTTCTCCCTCCCTCCCTTCACTCTCCTTCCTTCCTTTTCTTCCTTACTCCTTTTCTTTCCTTTCTCCCTCCCTCCCTTCACTCCTTTCCTTTCTCCCTCCCTTCACTCTCCTTCCTTCCTTTTCTTCCTTACTCCTTTTCTTTCCTTCCTCCCTCCCTTCACTCCCTTTCCTTTCACTCTCCTTCCTTCTTCCTTCCTCCTTTTCTTTCCTTTCTCCCTCCCTCCCTTCACTCTCCTTCCTTCCTTCCTTCTCCTTTTCTTTCCTTTCTCCCTCCCTCCCTTCACTCCTTTCCTTCTCTCCCTCCTCTCCTTCTTCCCTTCCCTCCTCTTTCCTTCCTCCCTCCCTTCACTCCTTTCCTTTCTCCCTCCCTTCACTCTCCTTCCTTCCTTCCTTCTTTTCTTTCCTTTCTCCCTCCCTCCCTCTTCCTTCTCTCCCTCCCTCCCTCCCTCCCTTCCTAACCTCAAAATGCCCAGGGCAGGCTGTTAAATCCTCCCTCTCTCTCCCCCCCCACCAGGTCTGTCTCTCTGTTACTGCTGTGTTTTGCTTTCCCTTCTCAATTGCAGGGTTGTTAATTGCAGCTCCAATCCATTCTCTCTGTCTCTGTCTCTCTCTCTCTCTCTCTCTCTTTTTTGGGGGGAGGGAACGATTTCAGCAGAGGAGGTAGTCCAGAGTGAATATTCCCTCTAGGGCTTTACATCAGCTTACGACCAAAGTGGAGCCCCAAAAGTTAGGTTGTCAAGCGAGACGATTGTCAAGGCCCCAATTTTACGACCCTTTCTTGCCCTCCTTGTTAAGCGAACCCCTGTAATTGTGAAGCTGACAACACAGTTGTAAAGTGAATTATTTATATAATTCTGTGTCCTTTATAAAGCTAGACCTCAACCTTACGACCACAATTGAGCCCAAAATTTCTGTTGCTTATCGGGACAGTTGTTAAGGAATTTGGACCCACAGTGATTAAGTGAATCACTAGAGTTAAGTTAGCAATACGGTTGTTAAGTGAATCTGGGTTCCCCATTGACTTTGCTCGTCAGAAGGTCGCAAAAGGAGATCAACCTGAATCCAGGACATGGCAGCTGTCATAAATATGAGTCAGTTGCCAAGCATCTGTGAATTTTGATCATGTGACTATGAAGAAGCTGCAACGGTTGTAAGGGTGAAAATTGGTCATCAGTTGCTTTTTTTCAGTGCCATTGTAACTTCAAACAGTCACTAAATGAACTGTTGTAAGTTGAGGACTATCAGTATTAACTTTCCGAGTTTCCAGCCTGGGGAGGTATTGTGCAAGCCTACTTGGTGTTGCTAATATATATATATATATATATATATATATATATATATATATATATATATATATATATATATATTATTAAAAACAAAACAGTGATTCCTGGGTAGACTCATATTAAACAATAAAATATACGAACACCAGGAAGTTATAAAACTATAAAAAGTTTTAATAAAACCAGAATAAAACCAAGCTTTCGCTGGCATCTGCCAGCATCATCAGGGTAGTCTCCAGTCGATGGGAGAAGCTATTTATAAGTGTGGCGTTCTTTGCGCCCGGCTTCTTGACCTCGTCATGGGTCCCAGCCAATCCACCTGCGTTTTGATCGTAGTTTCTGTGTTGCAAGCTGTAATTTCCTCACTTTCCTTACTTGTGCTGGTACCGCAGCTCTTCCTCCCTTCTTTGCATAACTGTAAGTGTGGGGGGGGGGGATTCCTGTTTCCCAATCCTTAAAATTGTCAAGGTTGAGAAACACTGTGGTAGACTCACACCAATATAACTTTATGAGAAAAGTAGAAGGTTTATTTTAATTTCAAAATTTGGTTTGTTGATTTCAACAATATTTTGGGTAGTGTTTCTGAGATATACACTGCAACTTGAGCCTTGTGGATGTTCTCTGTTTCAAGGAATATCCCCTGTTGTTCTAGAGCAGTAGTTCTCAACCTTCCTAATGCCACGACCCCCAACCATGTGGTCGTAAGTCGAGGACTACCTGTATTTCCCTGCGGGCGGGGCAGGAGGAGGCGCGCACGCTCCACCTCCTGTCCTGCGGCTGGAGCGCACGCTGGGCAGGCCGAGGGTGCACGCAAGCCATCGCCAGCAACTGCCTCGGCCCGGGAATGCCACGCATGCGTGGTGCCGCCCCCTGCGCCGTCCGAGGCGTAGCTGGCAAGCGGCAGCGACGGTGCAGGCCGATCACTGGCTGGGCCACCAGCTGCCCCAGCCCAAGGAAGGTAAGGCACCTGCCGGGCCCCATGCGCGCCAACAACCCTCCCTGCGCCCGCTGCTGCCCCACTAGCCTTACCTTGGCCACTGCACGTTCGATGCGGCGGTAGGCAGGCCCAGGCGCTCCTGGGCGGCCATGGCATGTGGCAGCGAGGGCGTAGGGTGACCACCGGCTGGGCCACCAGCTGGCCCAGCCCAAGGGAGGTAAGCCACCCGCCGGGCCCATGCGCGCCAGCAACCCTCCCTGCGCCCGCCGGCCTCCCACCTCCCACCCCTGGCCCTCTTTTACTTACATTTAGTAGTTGCTCAGCAGGGAGGGGTGGAAACGTCCAGAAAGCTCGCCTTAGCTGCAGACAACTTGCAGCACCGTTTGCAGACTGGGACTTTTAGCGGGCTCAGCAGGGCAGAGACAGCCTGGACAATTCCTATTGGCTTTTGAAGGCCAATAGAATTAGACTCTATTCAAGAGAGTCTATTCTATTGGCTTTCGAAAGCCAATAGATTCTATTGGCTTTCGAACGCCAATAGAATAGAGTCTCTTGAATAGAGTCTATTCTATTGGCTTTCAAAAGCCAATAGAATAAGAGGGAGTAACACAGGTAAGGAAAAGGGGGGAAAAATGGTGGACTGCGTTGTTTGGTGACCCCCGTGAAATGGTCGTTCGACTCCAAATGGGGTCGCGACCCACAGGTTGAGAACCGCTGTTCTAGAGAATATCCCAAGCTTATATATCATTTGGTAAAACAACTCCACAGCTGTATTGATGTCCTCTTAAAAGGATCCAGGTAGCCCAATACTAGTCAGGAAGAATGTCCATAAATAATTTATATAAGATTCTGGCTAAACTTCTTAAGGGACAAAAGTTTTTTTTCCTCTACATATTTTTTTTTAAGAAAAATCTGCAAACTGGCATAAATGCTTAGTATAAAAGTTGTATGGGGTGTGGGTTTGAGTTGCCCCCTCTTCCTAAACAACAACCTAATATTTTATTAGTCTCACTCTTTGAAATGATAAGCTATGTGGTCCCCTTTAATTCTTAACAATGTGTATTTGCTGCCTTACTTTGTGGCTATGTTAGCATGTTAATTATGGTTTGCTGTGCAAGTTATAGGAGTTTCATTATGTTAAACCATATTTCACATATTTGGCTAAGCCAGAATCAAACTAAATTATTTTTAGGATCTTTTTTGAATCCAATGATCCTGCTTAGAAATAAAATGTTCTTTAAGCATACCATGTAAATGCCTGCTGATGCTTTCCTTATAAGTTTCTTTCTTTTAAACGTTCACATATGTAACAGATATATGGTCTGGGACAATGAAAGTAAATGCTATAGATACATTTCAGTATATGTGAAATATAAATATATTTGTTTACACATATTAAAAATACATGCATATAATATAAGATGCGTAATGCAGATCCTCTGTTTATATAGATTTGTAAGTTGAACAACTCTTACATATTTCTCTTTTATAAATAGAATCATTTCAGTGCTTGTTGAAATACATAATTTCCTGCCCAATGAACTGCTGCTTTGAATAGATAATACTTGTTTTTCCTGGGAAAATGTAGGTGGTAATTTCCTGATTCAGCTGGGACCTTGTAGTGCAGTGGTTCTCAACCTTCCTAATGCCGCGACTCTTTAATATAGTTCCTCATGTTGTGGTGACCCCCAACCATAAAATTATTTTCGTTGCTACTTCATAACTGTAATTTTGCTACTGTTATGAACAGTAATGTAAATATCTGATATGCAGGATGTATTTTCATTGTTACGAATTGAACATAATTAAAGCATAGTGATTAATCACAAAAACAATATAGCAATGCTGGCTGGAGAAGCTTACTCTTCCTTGCTCAAAAATGTTGGGAGGGAGGAAAGGGGAAGGAAGGAAGGAAGATTGAAGGGGAAAGGAAGGAGATGGAGAAGGAAGGAGATTGAAGGGGGAAGGAAGGAAGGAAGGAAGGAAGGAAGGAAGGAAGGAAGGAGAAAGAGATTGACATGGAAGGGATGGAGATGGAGATGGAAGGAAGGAAGGAAGATTGAAGGGGAAAGGAAGGAGATGGAGAAGGAAGGAGATTGAGGGGGAAAGGAAGGAAGGAAGGAAGGAAGGAAGGAAGGAAGGAAGGAAGGAAGGAAGGAAGGAGAGATTGAAAGGGAAGGGAAGGAGATGGATGGATGGATGGAAGGAAGGAAGGAAGGATTGATCTTTGGAGAGTCTTGTTTTTCCAGATGGTGATGAACTGCAACTCTCAGCATACCCCACTCTTCCACAGTGCTTTTTAGGGCTGCTGGGGATGGT